AAAAGCAGTTGGTCCCCTTTCTTACACTATACCACACACACATCAACTATGTGGAGGCTATTTTATATACAAAATCAATTACACATGGTTTGTGAATGCCCAAAATTAAGAACAATGGATGATGTCAAAGAGATGGATTTCGGCTCAGTCTAAGTGGGAAAACAGTCACTTCAGCAGCACTAGCTGTCTCAGGAGGTTATGTCCATCCCAGACAACATTAAAACACAAACTGGATGACCGCTTTTCACTGAAATTCTAGCTAGATTCAAGCATCAGAAATGTGTAAGTTTCTAAGCAACCCTCTGTTGCTATAAATTCTAAGAGAGGGAACAATGTAAACTTCTTCAGTCTGGAGTTGCTGAAGAAACTTTACAGGCAAGTCAGAAGAATCTGAGAATTAGACAAACGCTGGTGGTGCCTCTACTCTTACTACACTTCAGTGAGATAGAAGCGCATTTTAAAAAAGAACATCTCAGAAAGGTATGTACCATATTAGGAACCATTTTAGAAATATTACAGAAGGGCAGCATGACATGGCTGAGCACCAGATGTGGACCCCTGCTCTGATCACCCCAAACTGAAGCTTGAGAAGTAATTTCATCCTTGAGCCTCAGTTTCCTCACGTGTGAAGCAAGGCACAGATGTGTCTTGGCAAACTGCAGGATAATAATCTGTTGTTCAGATAAAAACCTGATGGCAATGTGGAAAATTAAATACCTCTCTCTGAATCAACATTAAACCAAGACAAATCCTTAGCTTCATAAGATGCCCAGCTGTTGTTATGTGAAATCTCTCCAAGAGCCAACATAAGGGATTTTTATTTAGCAAGTTCTCAAAATTGTTATTATCCTCTGTGTTAAGAGATTACTGAGTTACAAAATGAGTGAAACATTACAGAAAGAATAGTTGCTATCTCTGCTGGTGGACTTACATGTGTGAGTACAGTACCTCATATGTAGACATAAATATAAAGATACAAATTCCCACAGGATTTTATTCATTCTCTAAGATGTCAACATTACTGACTAGTTATTCAGTCCAGGGAGAAATGGCATGCTGGCAACCACTACTTCTGTAAATGGAATGATTCTTTTCATAGTCCAGCATTTCTCCAAATAGTAGCTCCATAAGAAATTAGTAAGTATTTCCCAGAAAAACAGGATCCATTGCTAAATATGCCTGGGAAATGATTGGTTGAGCAAAACTAAAACCATTTCTTTTTTGTAGGATGTTTTGGAAATTTAGTGTGTTGATGTTCACGGTGACTCTCCAAGAGGAGGAGATAATATTCAGCATTTCCCTTGTTCATTGTTATAGGAGCCTATCATGGTGTGTACTGATTATCTGATGTGTGTATCATCGTAGTTATCTAATGCCATGTAACAAGCAGCCCCAATACTTAGTTACTTAAAACAATAAGCATTTATTATCTCACAGCTTCTGTGAATCAGGGGTCATGCATGACTTAACTAGGTCCTCTGGCTCAGGGTCTCTCACAATCCAAGTGTCAGCTGGGGCTATAGTCATCCCAAAGTTGGACTGGGGAAGGATCCACGTCCAAGCTCATGTAAAGGCTTGTTGGCAACATTCAGTTCCTCCCTGACTGCTGGCACAAGGGCCTCAGTTCCTTGCAGGCTGTTTGTTGGCTGAAGGCTCCCCTCCCCATGTGGGTTTCTTCACAGCTTAGTTCACAAAGTGGCAGCTAGCAAGTGAGAGGGCAAGAGAGGGCAGTCAAGATGGAAGCCAGAATCTGTGTGACAAAGTCTCAGAAGTGATATACTCACTTCTTGATTAGTCAGAGCAGGAGTCAGCAAACATGGGCAGCAGGCCATATTTGGGCCACCACCCATTTTTGTAAATAGTTTCATTAGAAGATAGCTAATGACATTTATTTATGTACTGTTGGTGGTTGCTTTTGTGGTACAACAGTGGAACTGAATGACTGGGAGAGAAACTACATGGCCCACAAAGCCAAAACTGTTTACTGTCTGGCCCTTTACAGAAAAAGTTTGGCAACCACTGCATTAGAAACAAGTCTAGCCCACACTTGAGGGAGGAGAGTCACACGGGCACGAATACCAGGAAGCTGGGGTGGTGGGAGCCATTCTAGAAGCTGCTACCACAGTGCCTGCCGACAGGTGGGGACTTGGCAAGTATTTGCTGAGTGAGTAAATGAATAATTGCTCATGTCTACCAATTTTCTAAATTCAAGGGCTGAAAAACAAATTGCTAGCCAAGAAAAAGCCAAATTCCGTCACTGATTATTAGGATTTGAAAACTGCGTCACAACTGTGACAATTTATCAACCTGTATGATCTTCTTAGTAAATTTCCATCATTATGTCAAATGAGTTACATGGTAATATAAACTTATAATTAAGTTTATACGTAGATCTGACAGATTGTTCTCTCATGACATCAGCAAATTGGAAGAAAGGGTACTTATTTGAGATTAGAATTCACTCTGGGGCAAGAAAACTTATTGTGAATTAATGTTTACAACAGGGGAGTTACAATACCTTCTAATACCAACAGACACTCCAAAACATAAACGTACAAAACCAAATTCTCATCCATTTTTCATCTTTTCTCAGTATCCTTTCTCCAAAAGCCCGATTACTGTACCACAAAGTTCTTCTTTGATCACTTAGGATTTCTCGTGTTTTACACAAAGCAGTGTATCCACTCTAGGAAGAGTAAAGGGCCTGTTGCTGCTTTGCTTACAGCCCAGTTTTCCACTGAATCGAAACTCCAGCATGAGTGGCACAAACTGGAGACCTCTTTCTTCCCTCACTCTATAAAACAAGGGCTCTAAGTGCTTCTGAAGTTTGGGGAAAAAAGCACTAAAATAAGAGACCCCAATCTGTGGCTCTTCTCATGTTTAACTGGATCCAAGAAGCATGGTTAGTAACAAAATCAAAGTGGGAGGAAGCAGGTAATAGATGTTATATTTAACACCCTACTTTTTTGTGAGTAGCTATTCTGACTGGCAAGTGTTAGTAATTCTCTTTCCCATACCTGAGCTTGTTTAATCCTCCCATTCACCCTGGGAGATTGATTACAGAGGAGAAGAACAGAGTAAAGAAAATTGTCCAGAAGGTCACACAGGTAGTAACTGGCTATCAAGTTTGAAAATTATACTGGGTTTTTCTAAAAGTGTGAGTGTAACTTGAACTGGATATATGACCGCTATGGGTTAATTTGGGATTACAATTTCTATTTGGTGCCCGACTATTCTTTACCACTGACATATCAAGGAGGAATTCAGCCATTGCCACTGGCACTCAGTGCTCAGGGAAAAAAGTGGGGTGCCTGTTGTGTGACAACCAAAGCCAGATTAAGGGGTGAAATTGGTAGGCAATTGCCAGTCCATACAGAGAGATAAATCATCACTGGAATAAATCAGAACCATGTTGTTATTAACTGTTTCCACAGATGACTGGTTACACAGCCGGAGGAATGTAAATTAGTCTCGTCCTGCTCCACCATATGAGACACTGACTTGGGAGTGAAGACGAAACAAAACATTGTTCCTTGGCACAGAGGTACCTACACTTGAGTACTTTTGCAATTCACTCATGCATGTTGTACAATGATTCGTTTATTATCTAAAATTTAACTCCTTAAATATGCCTCCTCTGAAGTTGTGTGGTTCTAGACTGCAGAAAAGAACTAGAGTATAGGAGAAGTGAGGGTGATAAGTGAAAAAATAGAAATGAAAGATAATTTTTATTAAATGTACAAATAAATAATAAATAATGAAAGTAATAGCATATTTTGAAGAAATCTACCATATTAAAATCATGAGAGGGGATAGGAACTACCATCCTTGTGAGCCAAAACTGGACATACTCAAATGCTGGCTAAAATTAAAATTGCTATAAAATTAAAATTATAGCAAGAAGCGACTGTATTATTTACATTCAAGAAAAATAAACAGTTATTGTTGTTCTAAGGCTTTCAAGTTTCAACCTCCCCCCCCTTTTACCCCATAGAAATAACTGTTTTTAGAGCATGATTTTTACGGTTCCTGAGGTGCACAAATGTCAAGATGGGCGTGAAAACGATTCCTCGGGTTACGCTGAACTTGAATACATGAGATGTCAGGATATTCTGATACGATATGTGGCAATATTTATTAATAAGCAGAGCATGAGTACTTTTAAAAAGATGAATATTCATAAGTACCATGATTTTAAGATTTCATCCTCTCGATCTCTGAGCTATTCATGAATTTAATCCAGTTCATCAAATCTTGGCATATTAACTCTCAGTGCTACACAGTTCTAACCACAAACTGTATTCATAGTAGAGTCTTTGTATTTCTGCTTCACTACCTCCCCACCCCTCACCCCACTTCCCACGTTTCGGACTCCGGACTCCATGGTAGGAAAGAGGGAGAGAACTGGCAGGAGGGAGGGAGTCCTTGTGAGCCAGTTTGGAAACCTATGAAAATCAGTGCTCAGTGACTTAACTCCATTTCTGTCCCAACCGAGCGTTCTGCAGGAGGTAAGAGTTTACTGGTCACAGCCCAATTCAAACCTGACCCTAGGGCAGGGATAGTTTTCTTCTCCCAAGCGCCACTTCAGCCTTTTGGAAAATTATGGAGCTGCTCAGCTTCTCCAAGGTCACCAGGGGAGCCCAGTGAGGGCGCTGCCTAGGGTCTTCCCGCGGCTGCACGGGAACTAAACCAGCCTGCGCACTGGGCCCCGGGCCCCGGGCCCCGACGGTCCCAAGCAAGAGCTGTGAGGCCGAGAAGCCAAGAGCTTTACCTCTGACAGCTGGTGGAGAGACCCGGCTCCGGGCGGATGCTTGCTCTTTGGACCGCAGAACGCAGGACCCCCAGCCGCAGCCTGGGGAGGGGCGGGCCGGCAGCGGCCCGTCTCCATAGAGACCTGACAACACGGCCCCGCCCCGCCCCGCGGGCCCACGGCTCCAAGTCACCTGCACCCGCGCCTTCCCCGCAAGAGGGCCAGAAACCGGCTCGCCTGTGGACCACGCTCAGAGCGTCCGTGCTGCACCGGCCGACACCTCCCTCTCCACTGCTGCTGGTTCCCCGTGACTTTGTCAATCTCCAGGGAGTCTGCAATGGAATCCTGGGCGTCACTGCAGGTCCCAGAAGCCCCTGAAGGCACGGAGCAGAGGGGACAGACCCAAGAGGCTTGGATACTGAAGCCAACATTTGCTTGGTCTCAAAGCCAGGAATTTTAAGGCTGTGGCGTTTCGTATCTTCAGCAAACCCTCAGAATATTTTAGTACTTACTATTGCCAATTTTCACATTACCCAGGAGGTACCAAAACCAAATCAACATCTTTCTTAGTTTCTAATGGTTCTAGTCAAAATGCTTCTACGTATTTATTGTGAAGACTCTAAGGTTTTTTTTTTTATGTAGATAAATAGTTACCGCCATGGGAAGATGTTCACAACATGAAAAGCATGTTAGAAAACCATCTATTTTTTTACTATCTAATTTTTATAAATAAATGTCTGTTTTAAGACGCCTGGAAGTACATTAACAAACTTCTTTTAGTCATCTGTAATTAAAATTTTTCTACTATAAATATGCAACATCTGTATAATAAATAATAAATGTTAGTCTAATCGTTTTATTCTAATCCAAGCACCTCATTTTTTTTCTTGTTGCCTTTAACATACGCTCAAATTGTGTGAAAGGATATAAATTAGATAAACTAAAAATTTGTTACCTGGGACCGACATGGGGTTCCTTGACACAAAGGACAAATGAACCAGCTGAATAAACAAGGCTGATCTGCCGCTCTGTCACGAATCCACAGGAAACAGCTTTTGCTTTACTCTTATCTCAGGACTCATCCAAGAAAAACATGTCAAATGGCAGTTTTCTTTTGCTCTGTCAGACCTTAAAATGCTTTTTCCCCTGGAATTCCTATTCTCTCAACCCAACAGAAAAGTTTTGAAGGGTGCATTTAATGTTCTGGTGATTTTATTTTTAAAAGGGGTATACAAAAGACTGATTAGAGAAACTGATCAGAATTCTTTGAACTTCGAATGCCAAAAATTACTGAAATTGAGATTTTTTTTTTATGTTGTTCAATGGGTCCCCCACCCTCCCCATTTCCAAATAGGTGCTTGTTACTGTGGCCTGGAAACAAGGAGGAAGAAGCATGGGCCTCTTCTCCAAGATGAAGGCAATAAATGCTATAAATGGATAAACATGTGGTATATCCATACAGTGGACTATGAGTTGGCCAGGAAAAACAGTATTGATACAAGCTACAACGTGGATGAACCTTGAAATCTTGAAAACATTATACTAAGTAAAAGAAGCCGGTCACAAAAGATCATGTATTGTATGATTCCACTGGTACAAAATGTCCAGAACTGGCAAATCCATAGGGACAGAAAATAGATTACTGTTGGCAAGGACTGAGGCGTTTGAGAGATAGGGAGTGACTGCTGATCAGTTCCCTTTTGAGGTGATGAAAATGTTCTAGAATTAAATTACGGGGATGGATGCACAACCCTGTCAATCTACCATAAACCA